TTCGCAAACATTATGTCAGCTTTACTCCAATCAAGTCAGTCGCTCATCACCCACGTACTCGCTCAGCTTGGCCAGCAGAGTGGCACTACAGTAGATAATAGGCACTCACTCACCCGATGGACAAAAACAGGAATGACTACCGAGGTGCCGCTGACGAATTGCTGCCAATGAACACTTGCCCGCTGGCAGCAATTCGATGCGCTTGTGGTCTCCGACGCAGATTCGCGAATGAAGCTGAAAAGCAAACAGCGGACGCGGCCAGCCAGTGGTTGGTGGCTGAGCTACTTGCGCAAGTAAACAGTCAGCCGGCATCCCATCCGCGGTTCGTGCGCTCGACACTGTCCATCGAGAGCTCGTGCTTGCCAAATTACTCACTGTGGCGGGATCACTCCGTCGCCTTATATTTATGAGGGTGTGTTTTTTCATACGTTATTGCAGTAAACAGGGAGCTATGAGGGTAGAATGATCGTGATATTGAGGGGAACGCGAATAAGAATTATCAGCATACACAGATTAGGTCCAGATGCAAAATACCCATCCGGGTTTGTATCTCCAAAAATTCTTTGCATCAGTGTACCAATTCGCTGGTACCAGCTTGCTCACCGCCAAATGTGGGTATCCTCTCCAAGTTGAAGCTTTCAATACTGGCCCCTATCAAACTTGCTGTAACGTAATGGTAAAGGAAGATTGAACAAGCATCTACACAGCAATCACTTCCAAGCAAGGCCATGTGCAATTTGATTCCTACGCAAAACCGCTCTCATTATAATAGATACACTCTATGTTGTTTATAATCCAATCGACTGGTAATACTCGTCGCACCATGCGTACAACAGCAGCATCTCCAGTGTGCATTTATCTACTGCAGCTGCCGTATTGCTTGCCCCACAAGACGATGTCCACTGTGTCCTGTACACCGAGTTCTCTTGTCTCCACGCACACGCTCTGATCCGTTGACTCTTTCGACGATCTTGAGGGAAATCCTCATCTAGCTGAGCCAGTTCCAGACTCCAGAGATCGTCCAGCAGCGTCGTGTCATCTTGGCCGCCGAACAGGAATACACGCGGCACCTTACTACCTGGCAGTGAGGAAACAAAGGCGCTAGCAGCCCAGTACCGAGGCACAGGACGCTGTTCGTCAAGAGCGCTCTCATCCTCTCCAGATGCAGTAGCGACAGTTCTCCATCCGTCGATCAGATCTTCGAGACGCTTCAAACGAACGTCCAGTTGCGACTCGAAGCGAGAAGCTGCCATCGCCGTCCTGGACCCGAGAGACGCTCGTCGAGGAGACTTGAGTCCACGCCCGACAGCCATCAACTCAAACGGAGTCAGCAACGTTGCCCGTCCTGCATGAACTCTCCTCTCAGCGATACTGGGGCTTTCTCTGTCGGTCAGAGACGCAAGTTGCGTCCATCGAGCAGTTGGCGCGACACCGAGCGCCACACTGGGGGTATAATCCAGTCGATACAAGTCGCTCAGTTCCGAGCCAGTACCTCCCGCTGTGCCTCCGAAGATGAACATACTGCTCCCGACTACGACAACCGAGTGCTGGAACCGCGCGGTCGGGGCCGTTCCCGTTGCTATGGACGACAGATTCGTCCACGTGAAGGCAGGAACGCAAGGCGCAACGTCGAAAGTGACGTCCCACGAGTCCAGGGTCCCGACAAAGCCGTCCGCTGCAGTGTCAGTCAACTCAAGCGTCCAGTTCCCGGCAACAGGCAGCTGATGGAAGACCGAGAGCGCTTCGAGACTAGACGTCGACACGAACTGCAGTTTCTCCGTTCTTGGGACGCATTCACTCTTATCTGCAGCTTCGTCGGGACTCCGCATAGGATGATGACATCGGGTCGTAAGTGTATATGCTTTCGGTCGATAGGTCGATCATGATAGCGCACCAATAATTTCCATTACAATTGATGGGAACGAGCACCTTTTCGTCCGAAACCCCGGCGAAAAGAGACACAAGGCCCTCCATGTCTGTAGTGTTTTTCCCGTTGACAGCTACACCGACGTGGCTCGAATCAATGGTGACCACCCCTGGTGTGGACGCAAACATCACGTTCATCACCGCATACATGCACTCGTCCCCGAGTGACCCTCTGGCAGCAAGGTCTAGTAGATGTATCTGTGCTCCAATGTTAGTCTTACTAGCCTTATTTCGAGGTAGTACAGTGACAAGATGACGTACCGAGTCAGAGCGAATCTGTAGCTGCTTAAGCTTGCTTGGTATCTCATGGTCTGCTTCAATAGTGTAGTCCGGGCTAAGCGGCTGGGTGAAGTCGATTCGGCTGATCCAGTTCAGCGCTTTGTCAATAGAGTCGAAGATTGTAATTGCGTGATGCCAACCTTTCATCATTCGTAATGTCGTTGTTGAGAGCACACCCAGACTAATAATCTCGACCGATACGTCTCTCTCCGATAATCCAGACGTTTTGCGTTGAAGCGCGGAAACCTTCGCGTCACACTTTCTGAGTATGTCTTTGGAAAGCACTCGAGTCAGCAAACTTGAGTCTGTCAGCGTCTTGCCTGCAGGGAGTTTGCTCGTCTGTCGGGCCACTGGGGGTTTAGGCTTAGTCCCAAATGTATACACTTGTAGTCGTCGAGCAAGTTCAGCGGAGGATGAATAGGTAGCGTTCGTGGAAAGGCTTTCGTGAACGGACCGCAAGCTTATTTGCAAGTCAAACAGCGTTGAATCTGCCTCTACACTCCGAATCAGCCTGTTTCGGTTTGCTTTCTTTGCTTTTGGCGTGACTTTAGGTCTCCCTCGTTGACGCACTGGACTCGCAATTTCGAACTCCACATCTCTGTCTTCAATATCAACTGTAGATAATCTGGATGTAGTTGTGTAAAAATCTCCCTCACTGGCTTGAGCTACGGATGGTGTTTCATTGACTGGTTTTGATAGTGCAGAAATGCTATGTTCGGGCACAATCGGTTTCGGTTCAGGCACAGTTGGTCCGATATTAGGCGCGGGCGTAGCAGCGTCAAAACCCCGCGGCGATTCAAACGGCTTCAAGCCACCCGCGCACCATAGAGGCATCCGGAAACGCTGCCCTGAGTACCGACAACTCCGTA